CCTTAGCTGCCTACTTTATCACAGGAAAACTAGCATTTTAAATTCTATTATACAAATTTTAGGCACATAAGCTACAAATAAATGTTGTCCTATAATAATGTCCACCCAATCTTTCACTTTATTCTCCATCAAATCATTCTTGTCCATCAAAAACTATGAATTATATTTTAAGCAACTGTATTTTTCAAATGATGTTTTATATGGCATGATAAGAAAAATTGTACTTAGAGTACGATTAACACTCATATCGAATATACAAAGAAAAAAAGTCACATTTTAGATGTCCTGGGGAAAAGAAAATGTTTCACAAATAAGGTCCTATTTGAATATTACAATTGTAGAACTTTATTGAGTGCTCTATTTTGGTTTATATGTTCCTTCTTTTTTTTTTTAAAAAAAAAAAGACTTATTTATTTTTATTTGAATTCAGATCGAGAGAAGGAGAGATAGAGAAAAAATCTTCCTTGCACTGGTTCACGCCCCAGATGGCTGCAGTGAACCCATCTAAAACCAGGAGCCCAGGGCCCCTTCTGTGTCTTGCACAGGATTACAGGGACCCAGGGACATGAGCTATCTTCTCTTGCTTTCCCAGGCCATCATAAGCACGGAGTTAGATCAGAAGTGGAGCAGCCAGGACAGCAATCAACGTCCAAATGGGATGCCTACACTGCAGGCAGAGAATTAGACCACTAAACCGCCATGCTAACCTGTGTACATTTGTTTCTTACTCAAATATTCAGAGACTTTATACGAAGGCATGATAAATTTTAAGTTAACTTTCAAAACATGTTTAACTTTCAAAAAGGGAGAAAGCAAAACTTAGAACAGAGACTCTTCCATCTGCAGGGGTGTAAGCTCATTATTGATCTAGGTCTATGCATATTTGAGAGAGCTCAGCAGGCTCCTTGCCCAAATAGTATGGGGCAGCATAGGTGAGAATGAACTGTGGCAGAAAAACAAACAAACAAAAACCTGCCTGCAAATGATTCCATTATTCTTTTCATGCCACTATCCCACTGCTTTCTCAGCACCATTTGCAGGGAGTGAATCAAAAGCAGCACAATCAGGCTCTGAACTCATTCCCACACTGGATGACAGCACTGCAGACTGGGACTTAACCCACTGCACAACAGCATCTGTACCCTTATTTTTCAAGATTTACTTAATTACTTCGAAAGTCTAAATTACAGACAGAGAAAGAGAAATCTTTCAGATTTTCTAGTTCATTCCACTTCTGGCCCAAAAGCACTGCGCCAGGCTGAAATAAGGAGTTCAGAGGCAGGAGCTTCATCTGTGTCTCCCAGGTGCACTTGGACCATGTTTCACTGTTTTTCCCAGGCCGTTAGTAGGGAACAAATGCAACAACCAACATGACCTGGAACCTATGTGGAATGCTGGCACGGCAAGCGAAAGCTTTACGCACTGCACCACAATGCCAGTTCCCTCCCTCACTTATCACCACTATCCTAGTACGGATTTCAGAGCTTTAAGTACTTTACCATTTTAAACGTTGCAACTTACAAACAGGACATTTTCCAAGTTACTATGAGGATAGTCCCTGCAAGTCTATTAAACATGGCTATCTAATTAGCACAAACGCAAGCCAGTTTAATCTTAGGATTCCTTTCTGAGATATTTTCAAAATCTACGAGTTGCATTTGTGTTACAGCTACTAGCCTTAAAAAATGCTTAATCTGCAAAAGATAGGTCATTCATTTATATAAACTTTCATGTAAATCTCCCCGTTATGCAAACTAATGACCTCAACTGCCCCAAACTGGGACTAAAGAGATGGATTTCTTGGAAACTTAGAATTCTGGAGCTGGAAAGGACATTAGGGCTCAGTACTCCAATGCCTTCATTTTATAGTCAAGGACACTGAGCCCAGAAAAGATAGCTGAGTGGCTTTGGGCAAGCTTCCTACCAAGTGGCAGAGCCAGAAGCAGAAGCCAGGTCTCCTGACACCCAGTTAGGAGCCAGGTCTCCGGGCTTTTCATCCAAGGATCTTTCCATTACACATTCGGATTCTCTGTTCTTTGTGACTGTCTTTTGACCACGCACACCAATCAAGCTGCTTTGTAAATGATCATACTGACCAAATAAGATGCATTGAATGAAAGTCATGGGGTTATGCTTGTAGAATAAAGTCATATTCTCATTGATCACACTCTTTCTCTAATATTTCAATAGCCCCTCATTGATCATGTGAGGAATTATAAGCCCCTCAATGTTTCCCTCAAAGCAGCATAGTACGTGGCTAAAATAAGTCACAGAAAACTTCTGCTTTCTGCATGCCTTCAGCTCTTGCAGTGTATCAAATTCCCTCCTACTCATTTCATGTACTTTGTTACTTTAAGGTTTTAGACCTATGCTGTGGCTGGGTAGCCTTTTTCAGTCCAAATGCAAACCTCTTTCAAGAGAATGTTGACCCTTTATCTCCATTGCTTACATTTTACATTTTAGTTGCAATAAATAGCTTTAATGTATCTGAATAAGTTCTGTATTTAGGTACACATGTAATGTGTTATTTGCTAACGTTCCCCACGCTTTATAAAAACAGGTAGTGTGTCTGTTCTGAATCAACACTCTGCCATCCAGTGTCTGGCAAATGATTAAGTTGGTTACCAGTCAGTGACTGTGTGCAAGGCTCGCTCTGATCATCTGGTTCAAATCTCTAACAGTGCTCTGAGGTATTAGTGTTATCTAAAAACTGAGTCATAGTAGAACATGGCATTTACATAATGTCATTGTAAGTGGTAGAACCAATATTGAAACTGAAGCATTTTTGTTCAAATTTATGTTATTAGAGAGGGGAAGAAACACAGAGACAGAGAAGCACCCACTGGTTCATAAGGAAAGGGAGAGAGGGAAGAGGAGTTGAAAGGAAAGAGAAAGACTATAGTCCATCCGCTAGTCCATCCGACAAATGCCCAATTGGCTGAGCTGGCTGGAATAGTTTGAGGGTCCAGAGTTCAATCCAGGTATCCTACAGAGGTGGCAGGAATTCAAATCCTTGAGTCACTGCCTGTTGCCTCCCTGGATCTACACTGGCAGAAAGTTCAATCCAGAAATAGGACAGAGATATTTTGCCCACTCAGCTAAATGCTCACACCCTCTACTTTAAGTAACCATTATCTTATAATATCCAATAGTCAAATACTGATTGAATAAGTAAATGAACTTATAAGTCTAATTAATAACTCAATGGACTATATAAATAGAATCAAAATAATACATTAGTGTCTACAATATGTCAATAACTATTTCAAGAACTATACACACTTTAATCATTCACACCAATGACAACCTACAAAGTAGATATTACTGCTTTTGCCACTGCAGAGATAAACGGAAGCACAGAAATGTGAGGTATCTTGCTAAAGATCATCGCTGTAAAGGGCCTGGCTGGAATCAAACCCAGGACGATTATTTTCAGAGTCTGTGTTCTTACTTTTTTAAAGATTTATTTATTTATGTATTTGCAAAGTCAGATATACAGAAAGGAGGAGAGACAGAAAGGAAGATTTTCTATCTGATGATTCACTCTCCAAATGACTACAACGGCTGGTGCGGAGCCAATCTGAAGCCAGGAGCCAGGAACTTCCTCCAGGTCTCCCACGCAGGTGCAGGGTCCCAAGGCTTTGGACCGTCCTCAACTGCTTTCCCAGGCTACAAGCAGGGAGCTGGATGGGAAGTGGAGCTGCCAGGATTAGAACTGGTGCTCATATGGGATCCTGGCATGTTCAAAGCGAGGAATTTAGCCACTAGGCCATCGCACTGGGCCCTGCTGTTACATTTTTAATACGTACTTGTGATGCCCCAAATTTGAAGTCAGATAGCTTGCAGCAAATAAGTTAGTAAAATGACAAACATTAATTAACCTCCAAATGATTAAAAACAATGAAATTAAATCTAATAGTTGAGGCTGCAATTCTGTTTTCTCAGTGACAGTGTCTTAGAGGTCATAAACTGTATTTAGGCTCTTTCCTCGGGTCTTAAATCATTTTTTTCTAAGAAGATCTAATTTTAAAAGTGGATTTTCCAGTCTGACAGGGTAGCATAGTGGCTAGGGCCCTTGCCTTACTTGAGACAGGATCTCATATGGGCGCCAATTCATGTCCCATTGGCACCTCTTCCCATCCAGATGCCTGCTTGTGGCCTGGGAAAGCAGGCGAAGATTCCTTGCTCCTGGCTTCTGATCAGCTCAGCTGGAGCCATTGCAGTCACCTGGGGAGCAAATCAGTGGATGGAAGTTCCACCTCTCTGTCTCTCCTCCTCTTTGTATATCTGACTTTCCAATAAAAACAAATAATTTTTAAGTGGATTTTCTAATCATATTGACACTTTCAAGTATGATTCCATTTAGCATGTTTGAAATGTTATCCGGTGACATTGTTTGCAAAATAAAAACAAAAGAGGAAGCTTTAGTGCAAGGTGGCATTTTTTTTTTTTTAAGGATACTTACACTGGTACTGCCAATCAAAGATAAACTGAAAAGAATAATTGTAAGTCGAAATTGGATGACTCTAGCCATTTCATTTTAACAAAGAGGAAATGTTCTTATTCCTGGATTTGGGTATTTGATGGTTTCAGAAATACTCAATAAAACTAGGGCAAAGAAAAGCAGTTTTAGAAGGTGGACCTTGTAGTCTGTGGCCTATGCACAATGTCAGAAGAGTAAGTGTAATTAATCAGCTGCAAGAAAGGAAAGAGTAAATATGACCTGCATCATGATGAAATCAACCGTTTGACCACATATTTGGACATTTCAGTACATGTCTCTGGAAGTACTAAGCACAATTTAGACAAGAAACTTAGGTCTATTCATTTAAATTTTCCACATATTTCCAAAATAAAGTTTCCAAAATAAAAAATACAAATAATGAAAATCTTTCTTTCCAAGGTGCTATCACATGCTTAGGTGAGGGACACTACAGAAGGAAAAAAAAAAAACCCAGATACTGTTATCTTTTTCACAAAATGAGATCTTATAACCTTACCTAATAGATTGGTTAACCACAAGGCCAGATCTTCTTTCATCGGTAGCAAATTAGCTTCATGTCTGCTGGCCAACCATTGGCTGTACTGATGCATATCAGAGAGGCCAGGTCCACCGCGTACCTTTGGACTCAGAGCTGTGCACATTATTTATCCACTTGTAATACCTGTTTTGGGAAATAAAAGAGAAATTGCTTTTCATTTAGACTTTCCTTATTAAAATTTTGCCACCATAACACACTAATCAACTGAAATCATCTGTTTTATGATGACAGGTCAAGCTATTAATGATTAAACTAAGTGTAACACTATTTGCTTTCTCTGTGCTGGCCCTCTAACTTTCAGCCAACCACCACTAAGTAAAAAACAGCAGCAATCAAAGGTCAAGCAGAAAACCAAACAATAGGCACTAAGCTTATGTGAAAATATATATTAGGAAACAGCCGTCGGTGAAAGCAAGAAATTCCACTTCCATAAGCATGGTAAAAGTGATTGGATTCAAATCCAAGTGTGTGATTAACACATTGTCTGTGTTAATCTTTGACAACATAAATTTCCACATGCTTTTAGGGCAGTCTTGGCAAAAGTTATTGTCAACTCACAGTCATTACTCTTGAAATTTCTGCTTATAAGATTAAGCACAACTTGTTTGACTGAGGTGGCCATGCAATCAACAGACTTGCAATTTACAGAATGGAATGGAAAACAGGATAGGAGGTCCGTTCAAAGAGTGCCCGCATCTCTCAAATCACAGTGACAAAAAGGAATAGATAACATGACCTAATCAAGATCACACATCTGGATTGCAGCACTCAGCCATACAGTTGCAGAAGGACACATTTTAGGTCAGAAAAAAGCCAATGCTACAATTGCACACAACATTAACAAGTACTACAACAGGTGTCTGATCCTTTGTAGTGCGCTTCTTGTCCCTTTGTTTTCTTCCTCTCTCACTGGTTACATACTAGGCATTGCTTGAAACCATCTCAAAATACTTAAATATCTCATATCTGTAAAAATAAAAGATGATTTTATTAATATGATCAGCTTAAGAGTAGCCTAAATACTTGAGTTGTAAAAAAAAAAAGAATTGAATCAATTGTTGACCTTGAATGTAGAAGTTTTCTATAAATTACTTATAGGATTTAAGGCTGCAGAAGTAATATTGAAGCAGCCAAACTAACAAAATCATAATATTTAATAACATGCAAGAATTAACTTTGCAAGAAATAAGTATGCATATGAAAAGACCAAGTGCTTTATACCCAAATAAAAATAAAAACTGTTGCAACAGGCAAGAAGCAGGATTTATATGATATGGAATTTCAGCTATATTTCATTATTTGTGGTATTTTAAAGTTTTCCTACAAATTAGGTAATTTTTGGCTGTTGTTTTTTGAAACTTTGCATATCATTCCTTTCCAGGTAAGTGAAAAATGTAATTCACTTATCACAGACTATTTTATTTCAAAGAGAACTTTGAAATAGTTTTTCAAAGAGGACTAATTAAAAAAAATTAAGATATTGGTGTTTAGAAAAATTAAATTGTAACTCTTTCCCAAGTGTCATAAAAAAATAAGAGTAAGCAACTAGAAAATTGAAAGTATATGATTTAAAAGCACAAAGTCATCCCTGATCACTCTTGTGATTTTTGGTTAAATTATCATAAATATTCTGTGTATTCTTTGCATATCTAAGTATTGAGGTGAACAAGAGCAAAAGTAAGTTGTTGTGACACACATTGTCATATGTTATTAAATTGTCAGGAAGGGAATCAGAACACTGCCATTATTCTTTCACAGTTAATAATGGCAATACTCACATACAACACTCTCATGTTGTCCCCAAAGTCACTGATTAAACACCAAAAGCCAAATGCTTTTTTTGCCCCAGATATTGGAAAAATATATTCAGTCCAAGGAAAAGAAAATATTTCTCTATAGCTAATTAGAATTTCTGCAAGACAGCTAGTCTCAGAAGCAAGTATTTCAGCAAGAATACATTTAAGCACATGATTCTTACATTTAAATACTAATTGAAATCTTAAAAGGGTTACCTCTAAAGTGCCTTTCTTCTCAAGACACAATCTCTCCCACTACTTTCCTGAAAACGAGATGTGGTAGTTCAGTAACTTTACCTACACCCTATTATGTGCTCCGCCACTTCCATTTAAGCACCAGAGTCCTATTTTGCTCTAAAAAGGCAAGAAGACACCTCAGACTCTGAAGCTCATTGTTCGGCAAAGAATTCATCCAGGGATAGTTTACAGTAAGCCTAATGACATGTAACAAATTCAATGAGCCAGAGGGACACAATCCTTTCCCTCAATACTTCTAAACAGTAAAGTGTTTATTTTCTGTGACAGTGGCACATTTATTTCTCATGTATTCTATCCTGTGTTTTGCCAGAAATGTAATTCACACTATCTTCTAATATTTACAGAGGATCATTTGCTAAAAACAAAGCAAAAAAGTAATAAGGCAAGTTCCAATTTTTATATCATCACAGTTTTATTTGGGACAGAAAGCAAAACAGAATCACATTCCTCTATCAGGCAGAAGTGAGAGTAAAAAGGTGAAAGGGGTAATTAATATGCAAAAATTAAATAAACATGATAAATATTTAGAAGCGGAAAGTCACTATCATATAAAGCTTCTCTATTTACTTTCATTGTGAAAAGAACTTGGAGCACCAATCTAATTTCAGTCCTTTTTCATATTTCAAGTTACCCCCTAAGCGTGATTGAAAGTCAAAAAGTGGAGACCTTTGATTTGGATTTGGCTAAAGCAATGTAAGACATGGAACTGCATCCAGGTAGCAGGATCAAAATTTAGAATTTGGATGAATTTACTCCAAGGTAAAGTAGTTTCCCATTGAAACGATTATAATGTGGTAGGGGAGAAAAGAGGATAAATCAAGGCATACTACCCCGATAGCATGAAATTACTGAAATATTCACTCAAGTATTGTCAACCACAATATGTATCTTATTGGCTATAATATATCCCATTGACTATAAAGCATTAGACGTTATTCTTCCTATCTAATACACCCTAAATTTGACTCTTCATAATTTTTAACAAATATTTACTCAATCTGGATGAGTTGAATTAGATCACAAAAAAACAAGCTGTAACAGAAAGATCATTTCAGATCTTTTGAATTAATTCATTAGCTTTTTGAACCATCCGTAATGCCAACAGATAGTTTTTAAAGATTGAAAATCAATGATGAAAAGTCCACTAGACTTGAAGAAAAAGTTATGAAGAGCTAGGGAGAAAGCAAATTTCTCTTTCTCAATGTATCTAAATACTTGAAAATATTTTTTTTTATAAAATGTATACAAACTAAACATTTTAAAAATTTTGGCAAATCACTTAGCAAGTATTAGATAAACACTGTTACTTTGAAAAGAGGCCTCAAGAAGTTCTGTGATCCTCTAAATTATGACTCCTATAGAATTTATATAGAATTTATGGGTTTATCTAAAAATACATAACTCAACCCCCAAGACTTGGAAATCAGAAGTTAAAACTTAAAGGAAAAATGCATGCATTAACCTAATCCAAAATTTTCAAAGACCGTGTGCATACACGTTTTTTCCCTTTTTTCCATAGCAGAAGTGATTCTGGACAAAGAAGTATGAATACGATGAGATTTGAAAAACTCAGGGGAAGAAAAAGAATGACTGATTCCCTAAGTACAATGCACATGTTCAATGACTGTGTTTAGTCTACTGTTCTAGAGTCCTACTTGAAAATATCACATTTATGATTCTTAATAAAAATCTATTCTTCCATGCCACCTAGAGGTATGCTTTGATCATGACTAAGATGATTTTTGATCTCTCTAGCTTCACATACATGCTATCAAAAGATATTACAGTATTTATAAAAAAGAAAAAAGAGAAATAAAATGAAAACCATTATATCAACAGTATCTGCTATGAGGGTCCCCCAGGAAGCCATATTAATGCATAGAACATTAGGCTTAGAATCAGGAAGCCTGAGGTCAAGCAGTAGTTTTACTTCCTAGGCGTTAATAGCTCTCTCGCTCTGTTCAGAGGACTTTCCTCCCTGTGAAACTGAGGGTCTTGGCAATGAACAATGGAAGGTAACATCTGAAAGATAACTATGAAGTAAACAGGTAAAAGTATAAAAAAATATTTAAAAAAATAAATGAAATCTAAAATTTTCCTCATGTTGCAAAGGATACTTCTCCCAAGAGGATACATAACATGGTGAGCTCTAAGATGAGTGATTTTCACACTAAAACAAATTCTGTTAAAAAAAATTGTACTGCCTTTTTGACACCAGTAAAAAATCATAAACTATTGGGATAGGGGAATAGCACCTCTCTCATAATAAATATGAGCCCTATCACTTCCAATCCACAGGTCCACTTACTACCACAACGACCACCACCCCAGAGAGTCAGAAAGACATACACAAACTCAAACTTAACTATGGTCATCTCCAACACTGACTCCTAAGGATCCTACAGGTAAGAGTCCCATTCCTAAAGCTGGCAGTTGTTCTCACTGGCAGCATGACCTCATCATTACTTAGCTTTCTGTATTGTAGGTGTCAAACAATGCCAAAAAAAAAAAAAGTAAACGTAAGTAACACTATCTCTTGAAATTTAAACAAACAAAATCCTAATCCAAGTACTGTTTAAAATCTGGCAGGTGAAAAATATCTTTCAAGCTGTACTCAAAAGCTAAAGCCCTGAAGATGACATTGGATGGCTCTTTCAACCTTGTGAGTTCCTCGCATGTGATTCATTTTGGCTAATCAATAATGTCTAAAAAAGTATATTCTCAACAATAATAAGCCAAATCTTTACCTAAGGGCCAAATAACAAAATAGAGCTCACAATTTAATAGGACACTGTCAGGTTTTATAATGGAACCTTCATATTTAGAGGAAAGAAATTTGACATCAAACATCACCTAACAGAAGCAAAGTAGCACTCTGTTAATTTAACAAATTATATAAAAAATCTTTAAATTCAAAGGAATCTTTGCAGCTTCATGTAGTCATATTTCTGCTTATTACTCAGGGACCTGAAGTTTCAGAAGATGGTTTGCCCAAGGTTAACAGGGCAATGTAGCCACAGCCATCAGAAATACCCACCCAACCTTCATGGTGGCCAATCTGTACAACGTTATCTTTCCTTCCGATTCTTTATTTCCGCAGCCCCATAATGATTTGTATTTCTCGCAACAATTTCTTCTTAAA